ATTCAGGTCTGTCAATATGGCCTTGTACCGCATATCTAATAGAGCATAAGTTGTACAAAAACATATAGATAGTGAGTATGAGTGGGTTCAAAATCCATCGAGGCTCCTGATTCTTTCACAATTTGCACGCATCTGAATGCTACCCGATGGTCTGTCAAAAAGATTCCTAATTGATCAAAACCATCATATGCTCCAAAATCCAGCATCACGTTGTTCTGAGTTTTCGAATACATCTTAGAAACGGAAATTTTGCTTGAAAAAAATCGATTTAGCACTTCATACAACTCGGGCAGTGGCAGGTGCACTTAGTAACTCAATGATTTGACATACAGTCAAACTAGCACTAGAATAAAGCAACTGGTTTCACAACTATGAAGACGTGGTTGACAAACGAGTGCAGATACCAGTTAGTTGCGCAACAAGCGATGGTCACAGTAGGATGTAGGTAGGTACTCATCGATCACGGAGAGGCGGTGCTCTATTTTCGTCCTGTCTGAAGGACACGCACTGGGTAGACTGTTTCGGAATGCAGTTATCAGATGACTGTGTTGGTATTTGGCAGTTCAGCATACTTTTGACCTTTCAAAAGGGGAAAAATTACGTCAGTACATTTAGGGGGGTCAGACGCAGAGACCAGTCTACTATTACTGATATGTCATCTTGTAGAGTGGTCGGAGATGACGGGTTGGAGAAGCGCATCCCGAATACTACATTATCTCCGAGTACTTAACAAGAAGAGAACTATTCACAGGCATAAAGGAAATGTTAGCGGAAGCTAGAAAAGGGGATAAATTAGCACCTTGAAGGAGGTCGGTGATGGGAGCAACTCGATGATGATAGTGGTATTCGTTCATTTCATTCGATATTCCCGATTGGGTTCGGCTTTTATTCTCTCAAGCGTTTATGAAATCTTATCCCCGGGTATAAATGTCACATCAAAATATCAATCGACCTTGCATGACAACTTCACGCTCGCTCGCACGTGCGCGCGCAACGCATCAACTCAGGCCCTAATTCATGGGAGTGTTGAGTGAACAATACATTGCACATAAACAAGACTTGTATGGGATTATACCTCTTTTAGATGAAAACGTTCGCTTCAATGACAATTTTCCAATAGAGGTATGTATTGAGCAAAACAAAAGGAACACAGAAGACCATAGTACTAGTTCTTTCGAATGTAAGTAATAAACTTTATCAACGCTTGAATCAGCACTAATTGATTCGCCACCGCAAAGCTCAGATCTTCGGCTGCCAGTTTTCACAGATAAACAAGTCTCCGTGAGTGACCAAAGGTTCGTCGTTTCTACTAATTATTACACTACTGTGTAATGAAAATGATTTCGTCGCATTGATGGCCGAATGACTCACACGCGGTCTTATTACAAAATAGATAAATTAATACTCCAGAGTTGAATCGGTAAAATGAACTATTAAGCCAAAGTCACATTTCAGTTTAGTTTGTACAACCATTAACCACGCATATTCGTGCGCCGGTTTTGGCTGCTGTCTTCTGGCTGCCCATTTGGATGAAGAATAGAAGAAAGGAAAGTGGAGTCGAACAGAAAATCGATAAGTTCAGTGGTCTAAGATTGCAAATAAATTAAGAAGATGCACGAACGCCACTGTTTGCGACACCCAGCCATATCACTCAGTGTCTCTAACTATCGGTGACCATCATCCCGAGGTCCCCAGCCAGGGAGCCTAACAGGACCTATGTGACCCAGTTTCCCGGTTAGGGTTTTTATACCCTCGTGCCAGGTCCTAGCTTGACCACCCTTGGCTTTTTTCCACTCGGTGTCTGTTTCGGCGAACATCGCCCGCCGTGGTAACTTATCTGGTGACATGCGTAACACATACCCCAACCAACGTAATTTATGGAGGTCGATCACTTGTTCCAGTGGGCGACCGCGAATACCCAAAACTCTGCGACTAACCCAAAAGTCACACATTTATTTTGCGAATGAATGTCGTCTGTGCTTTTCAGTGCACACACTTTACCAGCTGAGTTAGGAGGCCCCCAACCCCAACAGCATCGGAGCAATGTCAATGTGTTACACATTAATGGAAAGCCTCTCAAACACTTGTTCGCAATCAGTAGCAATGCATATCTACCGAAGACGGATCGTGTCAATTAAAACTCGAACGCGCAATGATTGAGCCCTACACGTGTGTACAGAGAAACTCGGTCTTATTCGTAGTTGCTTTGACGTCCACACTTCGGGAGAGCGTACTTCAGTATTATGTGATACGTGGTCGCCGAGTCGAGGCACATTATATATACACACAGTAAACTTTAGTTCGATTAGACGACACCTTTCCTGCCAATATTAGTATTCAATGGTTCGAGCGCAAATATACTGAATGTCTCAGTCTATATTTGCATCCACGATCAAAAAACAGCATTAGATCAGCCCGGTATCACTACCTTCCTATTCCCAAAGGGAACTAAAAGGACAAAAAATTGACGAAATTCCTGATGAGAAAAGAAAACCATATAAGTGCCACTACATTCGAACAATTGAAACCCCAAGGGTCACATATTCCAAGGCTCTACGGATTCCCCAAGTTACGCAAGCCCAATCTACCATTGAGGCCGATATTGGATATGACAAACTCACTATATCGTGCTGGCTCAAATACTCGACCTAATCAGGAAGATGATATCGACACAGTTTGAGAGACACTTTCCATTTTGTTGGTCAAATCAAGGATCTAAACATCTCTTCTCAATCTATGTGCTCCTTAGACGTAACGTCGTTGTTTACAAACGTCCCACTAGTCGAAACTATCGAATATTTGTGCACCTTTATGGAAGATAATCATTTGGACATTGAAATACCACTGAATTTTCTCAAGGAATTATTACTGCGATGCACTTTTGATGTACAATTCGTTTTCAACACTCATGTGTACAAACAAACAGATGGAGTCGCTACGGGTTCACCTTTGGGTGCACTTCTGGCTGATGTATTC